ACTATAATCGGAGAATACAGTGAGTGAATGGGACTAGAAAATAATACCAAAAAGACCAAATTCATGATCATCTCCAGAAACTTGGATGCATTTGAAAACTCCACCATAACACTGAATAGTAAATCCATAGAAAGAGTGAGTAAATTTAAATACCTGGGATCGTGGCTTTTTGAAGACTGGGCATCGGACAGGGAAGTAAAATGTCGCATTGAGCAAGCTCGACAAGCTTTCGTAAAATTCAAGAAGGTACTGACTTGTTCTGAGTTCGATCTTCAACTAAGACTAAGGTTTACTAAGTGCTACGTATGGTCAGTGCTGCTATATGGCGTAGAGGGCTGGACACTCAAAATGAGGGATATAAACAGATTGGAAGCTTTCGAAATGTGGCTTTATCGCCGTATCCTAAAAATACCATGGACAGCGAAAATCACAAATATAGATGTCCTTAAAAGAATAAACCAAGAACGCCAACTTTTCGAAACCATCAAGAAAAGGAAAACGGCGTATCTAGGTCACATCATGCGAAATGAAAAATACCAGTTCCTCCAACTTATAATCGAGGGTAAAATTGAAGGCAAGAGAGGAATGGGACGCAAGAAAATGTCCTGGCTCCGAAACATAAGGCAATGGACAGGGATTAACGACATACAATCTCTGATACATATTGCAAGAAATAGATGGTTAATGTGATCGCTAACATCCATTAGTGGATTTGCATCTGAAGAAGAAGAAGAACAGAAATTGCCTACATATTAGCATAAAATTATACAAAAATATACTACAATGAAGTTATGATCCTGTTTTTTTTTCGAAACTAAAACACAATCCGACAATTCTAGTACTTTAATGTGACATGAACGAGAGTCTTCCATACGTTTCCTAACACTTCATGAATTGAGTGATTCACTTAAAAATTTGAAGAACAATAGTCTTGGACAAGATAATATACCATCCAGTTTTTTAAACAACTTTCCATATCAACCATAAGAGCTCTTGTTAACGACAACGTTCAACGGGACGTTTTTGACACCGTCCCGTTGGACGTTGCTCAGTGTCTTTCAGATTCTTATGAATGTGTGTTCACGCAACGGCAACCAACCCGTTGGTTAACTTTTCACCGTCTACGTATCCAGTCTCCCTCGGCAAGACGTTTGACGGGACGGTACCGTGAACCCTCAGTGAACCTTTTTAGTTTATGGAAGTGTGTTGTTGTTTCGATAAATTTCTTTCTTTGTTGCTACTAAAATATGGATTTTGATATGGAGATTTTAATAAGATATTTCACCAATAATTTTTATTTTATATATAGATTGTATATTCTTAAATGACGAAAAATCTATTGTTTGTAATTTTTTTTAGTTTTTTTAAAACTGATAGTTTTTATTATGTTATAATAATAGCATAATTCATACATAGGTAACAGCTAGTCGATCAGCAGGTGCAAGGAATAGCCTCATCTTAGTGTCAGCACGTTTTAATTTTTCATGTAAGGGAGAAGGGGGTTACTCTGGACCATTTTTACTTATTAGCAAATTAAAAAATATGTATAAGATTCTTATTGCTGAACTTACCTCACATATTTACTGTAAACATCAACTCAACTTTCGATGTGAATATTTTATTTGTATCTTTCTTAATAGAACAAATATTTTGATTCAAATCGGAATCAATAATTTGTCCACAATGACCCCGTGGTGGGGTTAAAGTGGACACAGTATGGGGTTATAGTGGACGCATAGTAAAACATATACAGGAATACTGAAAACTTTATGTTAACAAAAAGAAACTACGATACATTATAAGAACTGAAATTAATATTAAATGAAAATAATCTTCCTTGCCTTTTCGTGCCAGTGTCTACTGGGTGCTCCAAAATTCCGACAATATCGTTCTTGTCGACAACTGAGACATCTTCAACTTCGGGAAATACGAAATTATTCACTTTTTTCCTTAAAAAATTAATTTGTACCTCCACATCTCGAATATATACGATTTGGCCAACATAGTGTGTTACCGATTTTTTACCCATAAATTTTACAAGTACGAAATCATTTTTCTCCATTTGTTTGTCCATAAAAATATCGTTGTCCTGACCATCATCTTCCATCCAGCCTTCATCCTCTGATTTAAGTATTACTTCTGTAGAAGAATTGGAAGAGGAAGATTCTTTCCTACTCCTTTTTGGTTCATAGCAAAGAGATTTCTTCACTCTATTCTTTTCTCGCATTTCAGCTCTTTCTTGCGCACGTCTTTCCTTCAAATCTTTAGCCTCTTTTTCAGCTTCCAACTGATCTTTCACTGGTGTGCTCGTGTAAATAGTCGACTTTTTATTTTTTCTTGCTTTGGAGTTTAATGAGCAATCTGCTTTTAGAAAAGTGCGGCAGCTCTCAGGAGTAATTACAGCTGTTGATGTAGTTGCTACTGATGGTGAAAGCGTAATGGGAGCTACAGGTAGCAGTCTTGTGGAGATTGAAGCAACTTCTAATATTCGCTCAGGATCTTCAGAATTTCTTGGGTTTATTGCTGTTGGTGGTTCTTGATTCCTATCTGTTGTTTCGGCAGCTTCATAATCCTCATCGGTGAATACAAGACGATTTATTGGCCATAAACCAGCAGATCTGAATCCAGATGTTATATTCTTCATTGTAAATGCCACAGGAAAAGCAATACCACACAGTTGAGCAACATCATATATTTGTATAGGTCTGCCTGGATGATTTTAAAGCCAGTCTCCCATTGCAACCCGTAATGCAGCTTTATAAGGACCATATACTGCAACATCTAGCGGCTGTAGTTTGTGGCTACAATGTGGCGGAAACGATAAAAGAATAATTCCAGATTCTCTAGCTAAGTTTATAGCTTCCAAACTTATACGACTCTTAAGAAAACCCTCTTTAAGGCATTTAAGGCTAATTAAGTGCATTTTTATGTGCTTTAGTACTTCTAAAAATAATTTAGCAGTCATATAGCTAGACTGATGAGCCAGACCAATGCTCCCTATTGGTGCACCATCTAAGAACCGGTCTGTCATATTCTTCCTGGGGAATATGATAACTGGAGGTATTGCTTGTCCAGTGGCTCTTATAATTCCGCACATTGTAACATTTTCACCGCGTTCTTGAGAGGCCACAGCTCCTATTTGTTTTTTTCCCTTTTCAGCTATACGTTTGGGTGGTGGTAAGACCGTGGGTATACCTGTCTCATCTAAATGTATTATCCTTTCTGGCCTTCCTTTAAATTTATCTAAAACTCCAATGTAATTATCAAAAAATAAATCAATGTTGGATTAGTTAAAGGCTGCATCTCGTGCTATGCTTGTATTTTCAGGTTTTCTAAGAAATAAATCACCATGTCGTTTCATAAATGAATATATCCAGTCCTTTCCTGTTATCTTATTTTTAGTCCAATTCGAAGGAATTTCTATTTGTAGAGCACTACCATACTCAAAAGCTAGGGTACAAGCCTGCTTGCAAGTCAAGCCATAATGTAATCGAGACGCCTTCTTAAGATAATCGACAATGTGTTGTTCTTGTTCATCAGAAAATATTTGGCGACCTCGAAATTTATTGACGCCAGAAACATTCAAGCTAACAATTTCTAACTCATCTTCGTTACCTGAATCATCACCAGAGGGTATATTAGCATCCTGAAGGTTCCTCTTAGCCGAAATGACTCTTTTGTGAAGCATACTTTTTTTCAATTCATATTTCTCTGCAATATTTCTCAAGCTTCCTTTTTTTCTTAGGATATCCTTTATTGCACGCTCTACAACTTTTTCATCAATATCAGCTCTCGCCGCTTTTCTACTGTAAGCCCTCATCTGAAACAAAAAAGCGATTTTTATCACATGATTTTTGGAAATATAATCATTTGTGGGGTTAGTGTGGACAGCTGATGATTTGTCCACACTAACCCCGAACGCCATGTTTGATAGTAACAATGGAATGACGTTTCGAAAAATGATAATTTTATCTCATTCCATATCAAATGTAGTAATTAAATATTCCAGAAGCCATACACTAACTTAGGTATACAATTAGTTCAATAACTTCAATTTTAGTATAATTTTACTTACCGTGTGAAATAAATGGATACAACACACAAAATCACTTTCTGTCACTGGCGGCCATATTATAGAAAATATTTCAACCAACTTTTACGTGGTGTTCGGTGGCGTTAATAGTCACTTCCTGAACAGACTGGGCGGCAGATTTAAATGCGAGTTTTTAAATAATTAACTATGTCCACACTAACCCCATGTCCACACTAACCCCCTCTCCCCTACTATTCCTAAAAATTTGCGGAAAGTTTCTTGACCTATTCGGAAGTATTTGAAGAATTTTGTTTCGTCTTTTTTCAATTCTTCGTAAAGTGTATGAAAAGCACCATACTTTTCTCTTTCCAATAAAATAGGATGTATCCATATTTTTCTTTTACGCTTTTCCCGTTGCTTCTGCATTTTTTATACAAATAATAGGCTAGTATAATTTTTTTCTTTAACGACCACATGATATAACATGTATTGCATGCACTTGTTACTTTAAAACTGACGATATTTCGGAGATTTCATACCGTCAACGGACGCATATTCCTTGAAAATTATGAACCGTCAACACGGGTACCCGTTTAGCATCGGCGCGTTACCGGTTGAAAAAAAGTTCGTTAACAAGAGCCCTAAAGGTAAGGCTACAGTTATTTTCATATGGCAGCAACAACAGTACCCCACAATTTTTACCAAGGTTAGTGTTTTTCCAATTTTTAAACCTCAAAGTTCCCGTTTAGAATCCGAGACCTACAGGCCTATACGTTTGACGTGTTGTATGGGAAAATTGTGGCCCTCAACTATAGATAATTAATAATACAATAAGTGGGTTGGCAGAATCCTTTGATTATACTCAAGTGAATAGTTTACTAGATTCATGATTTGACTAGCACATCGGGTTGATACGCTAGAACTTTAAAATATATACGTCATTTAAAATTATGTTACTTATACTTACTTCTTCGAGTACTCTATAAAAATCATCAGTGAAAACTTCTTTATCCGAATATTTTACATAACTGTTGTCTTCACAAACTAGCCCCATATAATCAACAACTGTACGTCTAAAAGTAAAATTATATAAATATTGAAAAAAGCTATTTTCTAGAGAATACCATTTGATTTGATTTTGAAAATGTACAGATTGTAGAACAATACTATATTAGTTAAGTATATTGAAGATAATTTACATAAAAAGCTCAAAATTGTATCGGTAATAAGACCGATAATAAAGATCCTTCCAATATATTATTATAAATTGAAAATTGTGACCCTTATTATATTTTTTAAACTTTAATTTGCCTTAGGCTTAATTTTGCAAAACAAATAAATTTCTCTTAATTAATTTTAAGTCTCAGAGCTATTTTTTATCAGTAATTTTTCTACGTAGCTTCAAAATAATATCTATGCTATTGGCTTTGAGAAAAAGATGGGGGACAATGAGAAAATTAATGAAAATATATAAATTTGTGATAATAAATTATCAAACACTTATTAAAAGTTACTTTCAACATATTTAATCAAATAAATTTAAAAACTTAAAAATTCTCTAATGTTCATACACAAATTATCAATAGTTCTTATGACTTGTACACAAAAAGAAGATCTCTTAATTAAATTCTCTATTTATTATGAAAGCGTATAGCTAAGCAAAACGTTAAAAGAATCAAATTAGTTATAACATTTAACAAAGTCCTTTTTTATTGTATGTCAGACTGACCTTTTATCTACATTATTTTTCTATTGGCTCCTTTTCTCTTCCTAATGTGTTCTGACCATCTACTGCTCGTATTTTTGGATGCTTTACACACCTCTGTTCTCCCCAGCTAGTAAATTCTCTCACGCTCACAAACGCCGCTACAGTTTCTCCAAAACACCTGAACAAACACCTATCCCAGAGGAACACACTTTCTTACTAATCGAAAGGATGTTCACTTCACCGATTAGCATTACATATATGCTACACCTATTTTCCTTACTTTCCAGAGACACATAAAACACTATACATAATTTTTTTACAAGCAACTCTGCTTACTTTTACTGCAGGCTATGGAGAAACAAAAAAATCAGCTTCTTTAGAATTTTAATCTCCTCGGACATCGCAAAATCGGCTTGGCGTTGTTTTCCTCTACTTACTGCTTCCATGAATCAAATTCCAGCATCATACACTCCACACCTGAAATTCCAACCAATCGCATTCAATACTTTCTTAGAAAACAAACTCGCTGTCGACCTTATATCATTTGGTATTTCCAATTTCATGAATATTTCCTTTCTTTTTGTATACAAGTCTCGATATAACAATATAACTCAACATCGAGATTATTATCTACCACCAGCTTTTACTAAAAGCTTTCTCCTTACTTTCAAAATTCTGTGTATAAAAGATGTCTATTTTGTATTCAGAGAATTCCTATACCTGAGCCCTTGAGATAATTGTTTAATAAAAACCGATATTGCTATAATATCTATATCCATAACAAAAAAACTATTATTCATTCTTATCTATTTGGTGTTTACAGAAATAATTTTCCTATTTATTTATTAAATCGAGTTTATTGGTCAATGACCAATATAAAAAGTAAATTTATATATGATAATTTCAGCCATGTTTTAGGGTAAAATATAATTTTTACATTCCATTCCATTGCAAACAAGCAAACATAGAAACTAGTAAATATGAATTGTGTTATGTAATGTTAATATAAAAAAAGTGCTTATTGAAAATAGCAAACAGCCGAAACGTTTAAGCAACAATTAAATCTTTGGTTTATAACAAATCGATAAACTCAGGAATTAAAAAAGTTTCTATTGAAAAATTCACGGTCAGGATATAACAGATAAATTTAAAATATTCATAGACCTGCTATTTTTTATGGATTTTTTATAAACATAGAATTAAAAAGTTGCAAATACTTACTCTCTTTCAGTAAGATTTTGTTTGTTAAGAAACTTCTTAACGATTCCCATATGACTATAAAGTGCTTGGGTTGATTTTGTTTCTGGACAAATGGTCACTGCGGGAAACGGTATGGAGTAAATTGGAGTTTCTTTTGTAGCAAAACTTACGATTACAGGAGCCCTTAACCATTTCTTATAAACTTCTCTAATGGAGATTATACAAGCAACTAGTGTCACGGTGAACACTACAAACCACCATCCTCTAAAATAAAATCTGTAGTTTAACAACTTTCTAACAATATAAGAACGTCAACATAAAGCAACAACGTTTTATTTATTTTTTGAAATTTGTTTGATTGTCTGTAATAATTCGAAAAAAAAAAAATTAATTTATGGTAAGTCAGTTTTTTCTTGAGATGATGTTCATGTCACTATTAAAACTGAAGTATGCATTCTAGAATAATCATAATTAGTATATAAAGTCATTAGAAGTTTCTAATTAGTACTGATTAAGTAACACGTGTTAATTATGCAAACATTATCAAATACAATTTTTTTTTCGTTACCTGATCAAATATTCTCACTTGCCCCAGATTGTGGGGCAAGTGGGAATAGCATTATCAGATAGCTCATCTAACGAATCATCATCTAACGGTGGATCTATATCAGATAACTCGTCACTAGAACTGGAACTATGCTGTAATTGTAATTTTTGGTAATAATCATTACTGGTTATAACCTCGGCACCAGGAGTTACTCGTGTTTTCTTTACTGGTTCCAAACGAGGTATTGGTTAGACTGTTTTCAAAAGCAAGTCTTCAAAAGAAACCGATGGCGGTAAATTTTCTAGAGTTGCTTCCATATTTTCGTCACCTTGATTCGCATTTTTCTTATTTATCTCCTTCCAACGTTTATAGGTATCGGGGTGAAATTTATCTTCTTCTACAACGTCATTTTTGTATGGGAATATTCCCGCTTTTCAAAATCCGCTTTGGATGATTTCTGGCTTTGTATCATACCACACGTCACGAACATATTCAGAAAATGTTCGCTTGGGCATTTTTATTCCTTGATTTCTTCGCTGCTAAGCCACCAATTTTTTGTCCTACTTAGTCTTAAAGGATTTAAACACGGACAAATCTAAGGGTTGTAGTAAATGCGATGTGTGTGGCGGCAACTTGAGAATGGTAATTTCATTTTCACGAGCTAATTCGATGACTTTTGTATTTACGTGAGTGCTGTGACCATCATATATCAATAATAATGGTCTTTGTTGTCCCACAGCATTCAAAAATGTATTTTTTAAGAAATTGACGAAAACGTCCGTTTTAATCCAGCCGATTGGAGTAGCTGCATATGCTATATCAAGATTATCTGGGTCCTGTGTTGCCATCCACTGGTCCCATACGAACTTTCCTTTAAATACAATACATGGTGGTACTTTGTCTCCAAATGCATTTGCCGCAGATAATATTGTTACATTCTCCTCACCTGGACCACTCGTAGTTCACGAACACGGTTTACCTTTGGCTCCTAGCACCTTCACTCGGGATGGGTTAACGCATAAGCTGGTCTCATCCAAATTCCATATTTGCTTAGGCTTATCATTAAGATCTAATTCAACAAGACTGTTCTTTAAGATCTCAAAATACTAATAGATGGGAAACGGATCACACATCTTCTTCCTTGCGTACTCAACCGATTGGGGTTTCTTGAGAGATAACTTGTATCTTGCTTTAAAGCCGGTGAACCAGTCATGACCAGGAATATTATTTTTAAATGGCGTTCTTATATTATTTTGTGTAATAAAATCAGAAACAATCAACAGAACTTCACGTTTTCAGAATCCAAAGCCCCATTTTTCTAGAGTTTTCAATCCTTCGGCTAACTTGCGTTCATGTTCGGCATGAATAACTGGTCCTAACTGGTTTTTTGGTCTCGGAACCATATTTGACGATATTTTTTTTGGCGGAACCCTAATTGACGATATTTTTTTTGGCGGAACCCTATTTTGATAAATAAAGAAATTACCTTGTAGTTTAAATATTTTTCATGTAAAACTGTAAAAGAAGGAAGAAATTATGAATTAAAAATAATATTTTATAAAATTTATTTATTATACAAGGATAAATACAATTAAGTAAATAACTATAACTATTTCAATGTGAAGAATGAAATTTTTTCACTCGATTTTTTATAATAGTATTAAAAATTGAACTTGTTTTTGGTATAAGTGTAAGCTGAAAAACCAGTCTCGCATCGGTAAGCCGTCACCAAAGGAGATAGAACCATTATAGCTTTCTCAATGATTGCGGGACATTCATCTTTAAGTGCAATCCAAAAGTCATTTAGATTAGAATTTCTGATTCAAATTTTTGTTTTTAAGGGGTGAACACTTAATGTCGATACTCTAACTTAGTTATTTAACTGTCGGACAGACGCGGAACCCCTGCGCCTCTTCTAAGAACCTCGCGTATTTGCATACGCGAACTTGCTTATTATTGCTCATTATTTCATATACAGGGTGAGTTATAACTATTGGGACATATACTAAGGACAGGTTATTTGGACCAAAATATGGCTATCGGGCCTGTATATTTATAATAGTTTCCCTGTATATTTATAAATTGCTATCAAAATTGGCACAGAGGCACAATCTTAGACAGGAAATAGTATTTTATTTACAATTTTACGTTTTGTCATAGAGGGCGCCACGTGGATCATTCCTAATGATCAAATTGAGTCTAAACTTTTTCTGATGAAACTTTTTAGTAATTTTTATTAGAAAATATGACGTAAACATCATTTTTTACGTAAAATTGGTACTTTTATTTAAACATGATAATTTCAACCGTTTTCGATAAAAACGCAGTGGCACTGCTTACAGTATTAAAAAAGGATTTCAAATATTATTTCATTTATGAAAAGTATGCTATGGACTGTCAGATAATTGTTGTTTAAGAGTATTTACTGATTGAAAGTCAGAAAGTGGTTCAGCTACCTGGCTTACATTGTGTGAATTCGACAAGAAACTATTGCAACCTGGACTATAATAACTACTTGAGCTAGAACTATCATTTAATGTAAAAGAGGAAAACGAACTAGAGCTACCAAAATTTGATTCATAGTTTGGATTTTTTATTAAATCATCATCATTATTGCTTACGAAGTCTGAGATTTGGAATTCGTCTTTCCGTTTTGGTAAAAGGTCAACCCGTAATAATGATGTATCAAGCTTATTATTATCGTTATCCGTAGCTATAACGTAGTTTGCATTATCATAAGAAACAAGTGCTGCATTTTCCTCTGATAAAAAAAATCTTTCTGAGACTTCTAAAAAAACAAACATTATTATATATTATATAAATAACAACTTAAGAACGTTATTTAGGCACGCTATTTTTTTATTATTCAATATCAGATTACCCGAGTTTCGTACTTGATCTGGTGCATAACGCTCCGATTTTATTTTCTTTGCAAGGGCCATAATTTTGCTTTTCCTTGAACTCGATGAACTTTGCATGTTATGAAGCTAGTCTTTTTGCTTCAACAAAAATAATAATAAATAAAAATAAGGAAGGATAACATACAGTCATAAACAAGAAAATAACAGTCAATGATTCTAAAAGAACATCATAATTAAAAAAGAAACGTCAGTGGATTTGAAAATCGTATGTGCTGGTTCTGCAAAACAGTCATATTCCAAAAATAGTTTGAAAAAATATACTTACATATTAAAAAAAACTGGCTAAACTCAAAATGTTATACTCTTCCGCACCATGCAAAAGTACTTTCCTCGTTTACAACTTCAAAAAACTGTCACAACACAAAAAAGGACAGTATTTTACTAATTGCAATAATCAGATTTAACTAATAATTCATATAAAACCTGTTACAATTCTAAATAGTTCAAATATAAGATTGACGCTTTTATGGAAGAGAGTACAACTTATTTTAATACTTGTAGCATGGTCATCTCAATAATGGCGATTTTTAAGTTGTGACTCTTTTTTATCTTCTTTGCATTTGCGTCTAATTCTGTTGTGAAGTATTCGTTGGCTTTTGCTACTATTTTACCTTATTTGGATTATAAACTAGAAAAACAGCAGTAAAAAAATATAAAACAACATTTAAAAAAAATAGATGGGTCTTAATTGGCTCAATCGATGGGCTTTTTTGTACTTACTGTACCCAGTAAGGCACACGGCACTGATTTTGAAAAAACCGTTAAAATCTTAACAGTGTAAGAAATTTAAAACAACTTTACCAGAGTAAAATAAAACAGTATAAATCTTTCATTTGTTTTTCACTGCTTTGAGTAAGTAAGTAGCATATTTAATAATTATTTAAAAATAATTAAATAAGACGGGCTTTATATGGGTCGCGTTATTTATTATAAATTATAAAACCATTAGATTGTTCAAAATTATTTGTAGTTATTAATATTTTTCGATAAAAAAAACACATTCGATAGTTTTATTAAAATAATATAATCATACTTACCTCTCGAAGTAAGTTCTTTTCTCTCCAAAATATCTGAATCCATGAATGCTCGTACAATTGCAATATTCTCTAAAGTAATTTCTTACGCTTTTGAAAAACGGAGGTCTCTCTACTTTGACTTCTGCCATTTTGGTGACTCAGGAAAACTGAGCTATTAGAAAATTGAATTCTGGTAAAACACACCAGTTGTTTACCAGTAGATTTCCAGGGTCGAAGGGTGACGTAATTTAATCAACGTTTATCTGATTGAATGATCCCTGGAGATTTCAAAATGTAATGCTTTTTGATCAGGGTGATATAGGGTGACAATGATAACGATAGCTTTTCTTTCGAAAAGTCACATTTCTCTTTTTATATAAAGTTTTTGCGATGGTTTATTCAAAGTATGTTTAAAAAAATAAGATTATTTATTTTTGTAGTATTTTGTAGTATCTACATACTTTTACTATAAATAAGAGAAACTAAACTAAACTATTAAGATCACAAGTTAAACAAAAATTCTTCACCATTAATTCATATTAATTTATTTATAAATAAAGTTAAATAAATAAGTCAAATATTATATTTCAATAATTGTTATTGAAGTACTTTTAGGTGAATACTTTTTAAAAAAATATGAATGTGTGAGTCCATTTCAAATAGGCAAAAGAAATAATTTTCAGGTAATATCCCAGAGGAATGGCTATTGTCAACATTTGTAACGCTACCAAAAAACGATCTGGGAAAACGTGCGAAGATTTCCAAACTATTAGTCTTATGAGTCATGCACTTAAAATTTTTCTTAAAATCATACATGCCAGAATTTACAAGAAATGCGAAGAAAATGTCGGTGAAATGCAATTCGGATTCCGCAATTCCATGGGTACACGTGAGGCACTTTTCACCTTACAAGTTCTACTTCAGAGATGCCGCGATGTCAGTTGTGATGTCTGTATTTGTTTTATTGACTACGCCAAGGCGTTTGACCATTGTCAGCACCAGAAGATGGACAACGCCCTACAAAGAGTAGGATTGGATGAGAAGGAGATTCGGATCATCATGAATTGATACTGGAACCAGCGTGCTCAAGTCAAGGTCAAAGACCAGCTGACCGACCAAGTGAAGATCATGCGAGGAGTAAGGCAAGGATGTGTGCTATCGCCGACTCTTTTCAATATATACTCTGAGGAGATTTGTACTGAAGCCCTCACAAACCTAGAGATGGGAATCCGAGTGAACGGTGAATACATCAATAACTAATATCCGCTACGCCGATAACACTGTGTTACTGTCAACCAGCCTAAACGATCTGAAGGCCTTACTAGACTAAGTGCGAACTGTGAGCGTAACATATGGACTGAAAGAAAACTTACTATAAGAAAAATAACTTCATGTTTGTCAGCCGTACAAATTTAGATCCCAGGGCACTAATGGCAGATAGCGAAGAGATCCAGAGAGTTGACAGATTCACTTACCTCGGATATACCCTCAACTCACAATGGGACTACGCTCAAGAGATTAGATCCAGAATTGAAATGGCACGGTCTACATTTATTAAGTTGAGATCCTTGCTGTGCTGCAGTGATCTCAGTTCGGGAACCAAGATGCGGATAGTGAGGTGCTACGTTCTTCCAGTGTTACTATATGGAGTTGAAGCCTGGACACTGACGCAAGCCACTGAAAAACGAATTGAAGTTTTCGAGATGTGGATATACAGAAGGATACTAAAAATATCTTATGTGGACCATGTCAAATAAAAGCCAAGAGGCAAAGAGCCAAATAAAATAGAAAACAGAATAATTGAGAACTCCCGAGCTCCATCTGAGAAAAATCATACATCTACCGTAAAAAGAGCTCTTAAACAACTTAAAGCAAATACTCCCGCAACATCAGAATACTCACGTGCCTTCTCATTGGATGAAATAAACGAAGTGCTTAACCAAACTAAAACAGGAAAAGCAGCAGGCTTCGATGGAATGTATGCTGAGTTTATAGTCCACACTGGTACAAAAACACAACAGTGGCTCAAAAAATTCTTTAGCAACATTGTAAAGACAGCTGTGCTCCCCCAGAATTCAAAAGAACAAAACTTATCGCAATCCAGAAGCCTGGCAAAGACAACAAGCTGCCTGAAAGTTACCGGCCTATTGCCTTACTCAGTTGCTGTTATAAATTACTAGAACGACTTTTATATAACCGAATATGTAAAACCATTGAGGATGCTGTACCAATTGAACAAGCTGGATTTAGAAGAGAACGAAGTTGCTGTGACCAAGTGCTGTCCTTAACTACATTTATTGAAGTTGGCTTTGAAAGACGCGAAAAATCTGCCATAACAGTTATAGATCTCACGGCTGCCTATGACACTGTGTGGAGAGAGGCCTTATTTATAAGCTGATGAAAATCATACCTTGCTTCAAAACTTGTCAGCTGATAAACAATCTACTGACTAACAGACTGTTTCAGGTATATATGAATGATGCACAGAGTAACGTTAGAAAACTTAACAACGGCTTACCTCAAGGCTCAGTGCTAGCTCCTTTAGAGCTAGAGATAATAGTAAAGAAGTAGGAGAACGAGCTCTAAACGAGTACTTAACTACACTAAGTAACTATTTTAAGAACTGGCGCTTACATCCTAACACAAGCAAAACTGAAACCTGTCTCTTTCACCTGTCGAATCAACTTGCGGGCGATACTCTTAATGTAACTCTAAATGATACAGCTATCAAACATAACAACAACCCCAAATATCTAGGCGTCACACTTGATAGAACACTCACCCTCAAAAGTCATCTTACAAACGCAGCCGGTAAACTAAGAACAAGAAATAACTTAATATCAAAACTTGCTGGAACAACTTGGGGTGCTTCTGCAGATACTCTTCGGACCTCTGCTCTAACTTTGGTTTTTTTCCGTGGCAGAATATTGTGCACCAGTATGGCTAAATAGTGCACATACAAGCAAAATCGATTTCCAATTTAACCAAACTATGAGAATAATCACTGGAACAATAAAACCAACGCCAGTGAGATGGCTGCCTACTCTGAGCAATAGTGCTTCACCAGATCTACGCCGTACAGTGCCATTAGTGAGAGAGTACCAGGAAATTGTAGCCAACGTAAAATTACCAATACATCAAGATATCCCAGACATCTCAAAAGAGCACCAGCGACTGAGATCTAGAAATCCTCCAATACGATCTGCCCGAAAAATTGGTAATTCGTATGATATACATAGGCAATGGACAACAAGATGGATGCCAACAGTAGAATCGGACTATATTAAGATATCCATCCCAACTCAGGGTTTCATCGGATCAAATCTGCCCCGGTTTACTTGGGCGAGGCTTAATCGTATACGTACCGGACATGGTAAATGTGCTGATTCGCTGTTCAGGTGGAGTCGTGCAGAAAGTCCACAGTGCGTGCGATTGCAGACAATCTAGACAGACCATAAGCCATTGTGTTTCAGACTGCTTGAATCGGGCCTACCGTGGAAACCTCCAGGACTTTGCGGAATGTTCCCCAGAAGCAATTGAATGGCTATGTAAATTGGACATTAATATTTAGTGTCATTCATTCTATCTTTAGTGTTTGAATAATATATTTAATATATATGTATATATTATTGTATTTGTATATTTATCGTACTGTGAAAGTCCATACGCTAAATAAATAAATAAAATCTGTTTAATTACAGTTAACGATTAACTAATGAATTACTAATTTATCTAATAATCTAATCGAATTAACCTCATTTTCTACTTTTATATCATATCAACCTGTGACGAATCCGGCTTTTGTCCGACGAGGACTACTTTTGTTGACATTAAAATGCTGAGCTTTCAAGGTTGTGCTTTGATGCAATGAATGTATTTTTTGTAACCGAGACACATCATGTTAAATAATCTGTGTGCTTCAGTTTCTAAGAGTTTAAAAACTATTGTTAACCCGTTTGATTAATCTAGAATATACATTTAATATAAGAACGTGGTGGTTATGATAAAAATTAAATACAATTTTAAACACTTAGGATATTA